TGGCTGGGCCTGGTGCCTCATGCCTGTAATCCCAAGACTGCAAGGCTCAGGTGGGCAGATCACCTGAGGTCAGGAGTTCAAGACCAGCCTGGCCAACACAGCAAAACCCTGTCTCTACTGAAAATACAAAAATTAGCCAGACACGCTGGCAGGTGCCTGTAATCACGGCTACTTGGGAGGCTGACGCAGGGAACATTTCTTCAACTCGGGAGTCAGAGGCCGACATCGTGCCACTGCACTCCAGCCTGGGGGACAGAGTGAGACTCCATCTCAAAAAAATAAACAAATGGAATCATTTACTATGTTCTCTTGTTTTCACTTCTCCTACTCGGGTGGTTATATATGACACTAATTTCTTTGTGTTTTTCCCTTGTTTCACTTTGTTTTGGCCAAGTTATATCCTATTGATTGCATGATTATCACACAATTTGAGATCCATTTTTCTGATGGGTGACAGGTTTAGTTGTCGGCTACTGTGTATAAGTAACTATGAATATTCTCATACAATTATTTCTGTGAAGATACATACTTATTTTCCTGGGTATCTATAGCTGGGGATGGAGTTGCTTGGTGAATGGGAAGAAAATAGACCCAGACTATGGCAAAGTAATTGTATTACTTTACATTGCTATGAAAGATGTAGGCCATTTCCCGTTGCTCTACATTCCCACACACTTAATATTTATGGTCTTTTAAATTATAGCCATTCTACCAGGTGTATAGTCATATCCTATGTTGGTTTTCTCACGCTTAATGTTCAGTTAGACATCTTCTTATGGGAAATATCTTCTCAGATTTTTATGTTCATTTATTACTGGGGTGTTTGTCATTTTCTTTGTAATCTATAGGAGTTCTTTATATATTTTGAATGCGTCCATTCAAATATATATATTTTTTGCTATATTAAAATTATTTGCTATTTCTGGTCTACAGATAGCTTTTAAGTTGTTAAACAACAACATAATAAGCAGAAGGTTTTTAAAAATGAAGTGCAATTCACTTGATTTCTTATTGCGGTGAGTGATACAGTATCTAGTCTAAGAAATATTTTCCTATGTCAAGTTCATGAAACTATTTCTCATTTTCCTTTACAAGGTTTCTAATTTGAATTTTCACATGTTAAGTTAATTTCAACGTATGATGGAGAGTGGTTGTTAATATTAACTTTTTAAAACAACAAATATTATTTCACTCAAAATCGTTTTACTTAAAAGTCTTTCATTTCCCCAATGAAGGGCATTGGCGACTTTGTTTTTAAAACATTTAGAAGTGGCGGTGCGACCACATTCTCACTCACGGGTGGGAACTGAGCAATGAGAACACCCGGACACAGCGCGGGAACATCACACACCAGGGCCTGTCCTGGGGTGGGGGGCTGGGGGAGGGATAGCATTAGGAGAAATACCTAATGTAAATGA